AAAAAAAAAAAAAAACAATAAATAACGCAAGCAACATTTTCCTCTTTTGCCTTTGCACTGTTCTGCAACATTTCAACACCTTTCTTTAGACCTTCCGTTTGCTAAATTCGTATAAATCGCTCGAATGAAACCCTACACTCAATGGAATATTAATGCCCGTTATAATAACAGTATTCTCATTATGATACAGCCAACGCTAAAACTACAGCTTCTCTAACAACTACATAAATAAGTGCGAATGACTATCGACAAGGCATTCAAATTTCTCCCTTAAGAAGGAAATACAGAAAGAAATACAAAAATTCACCTTCGTCTTGGACAAAAGTGAAGAAAGATCCAGATTGACTCAAGGGTCTTTACTCATGGGTAATCATGAATACGTATATATACATATAGCCTTCGTACGTATCATGAAAATATTAATATTTTGAAGGCATTTACTCTTTTCTAAGGCCAATGTCAGTTACAAACGAAAAAAGATAAAAACTGACTTTTTTCATATCTCATAATAGTAACGAAAATGATATAATATTGATAATAGCGTAATGACAATAATAATGATAATAATAATAATGATAATAATAATAATAATAATAATAATAATAATAATAATAATAATAATAATAACAATAATAATAACAATAATGATAATAATAATGAAACAACAACAACAACAATAATAAAGACAACAGACCCCGTCGCGCCACACTATCTACAACCCTCAGTGCGCGAATCTGTAATAAGGCGCAGCTACGGGCGAGTGTCTATGGGAATCGATGGGAGGCGGCGCCCTTGCGGGAGCCTTGAGCATCCTGGCCCTGACGCAGGAGTAGAGGGCGAAGAGCAGCGCCACCAGCATGACCGCCAGCAGCACTCCGAAGGCGAGGACCATCTTGTAGGGCGTCACGCAGAACATGTTCTCTTCGCTGCTGGGGGAGAAGGGGCGTCAGCGGGGGCGTGGTTTGCTTCCTGTTTGGTTGTTTGTTTATCTGTCTGTGGTTTTACTGTCTGTTTGTTTGTCTGTTTGTTTATTTATCTATGCCTTTCCTGTCTGTTTCTTTGTCTGTTTGTTTATCTATGCCTTTCCTGTCTATCTTTGTCTGTTTGTTTATCTATGCCTTTCCTGTCTATCTTTGTCTGTTTGGTTATCTATGCCTTTTGTCGTCTGTTTGGTTATTCATCTATGTTTCTTTGTCTGTTTGTTATTTATCCAAGCCTTTCCTGTCTGTTTGTTTTGTTTATTTATCCAAGCCTTTCCTGTCTGTTTCTTTGTCTGTTTGTTTATTTATGCCTTTCCTGTCTATCTTTGTCTGTTTGGTTATCTATGCCTTTCCTGTCTATCTTTGTCTGTTTGGTTATTCATCTATGTTTCTTTGTTTGTTTATTTATCCAAGCCTTTCCTGTCTGTTTCTTTGTCTGTTTGTTTATTTATCCAAGCCTTTCCTGTCTGTTTCTTTGTCTGTTTGTTTATTTATCCAAGCCTTTCCTGTCTGTTTCATTGTCTGTTTCTTTGTTTATTCATCTATGCCTTTCTGTATACCTATTTATTTATTAATTGCTTGACAAAACGACAGATAGACTGATGGTTCATAGATAGATGTGTATATATAGATGGTAAGCGGATGGATAGATACATTGTCTATTAAATCAGTTTTTGAATAAGCATAGATATTAAATACTTTTACAATTTTGCAAATAAATTACACAACCTGTAGTACAAAACAAATACATAAAACCATCTATCATTCTTGTCTCCAATACACAAACTAAAAACATTCACCCCACCCCCTTCACCCCCATCCACCCCTTCACCCCATCCACCCCCTTCACCGCCCTCACCCCCTTTCACCCTTCACCCTTACCTGAAGAAGTCGATCGCCTCCACCTTCTCCCTATCGACCCCATCCACCCCCTTCACCCTTCACCCCCACCCCACCCCCTTCATCCTTCACCCCACCCACCCCCTTCACCCTTCACCCTTACCTGAAAAGTCATCGCCTCCCACCCCCACCCCTTTCACCCCCTCACCCCTTTCACCCCCACCCACCCCTTCACCCCTTCACCCCCACCCAACCCCCTTCACCCTTCACCCTTACCTGAAGAAGTCGATCGCCTCCACCTTCTCCCTATCGACCCCATCCACCCCCTTCACCCTTCACCCCCACCCCATCCCCTTCACCTTCACCCTTACCTGAAAAAGTCAATCGCCTCCCACCCCTTCACCCCCCACCCTACCACCCCCTTCACCCCCACCCACCCCTTCACCCCCAACCCCTTCACCCCCTTCACCCTTCACCCCTTCACCTTCACCCCTTCACCCCCACCCACCCCCACCCCTTCACCCCTTCACCCCTCACCCTTCACCCCTTCACCCCCACCCACCCACCCACCCCTTCACCCTTCACCCCCACCCACCCCTTCACCCCTTCACCCCTTCACCCCCACCCCTTCCCCCTTACCTGAAGAAGTCGATGGCCTCCACCTTCTCCCGGTCGACGCGGTACTGCTTCACGAGGTCCGGCTGGCTCTCGATGCCCGGCGCCCTGACCTCGACCGCGTTGAAGACCTCGACCTTGTCCAGGACGCGGCCGGAGAGAGCGCGGTCGCCGCCCCGGTCGCGCTGCTGGAGGGGGGGCGAGGGGAGGGGGTGTTAGGGGCTTCGTTGGGATTGTTATTTGGTTGGTTGGGTTATCAGATTTATTAGATTTATTAGATTTATTAGATTTATTAGATTTATTAGATTTGTTAGATTTATTAGATTTATTAGGTTTATTAGATTTATTAGATTTATTAGACTTATTAGATATTAGATTGTTAGATAATTAGATTTATTATTATATTATTCGATTATTAGATTTATCAGATTACAATCAGATTATTAGATTTGTTAGATTATTATTAGATTGTTAGATTATTAGATTGTTAGATAATTAGATTTATTATTAAATTATTATACTTATCATATTATTATTAGATTATTTGATTTATTAGATTATTAATAGATTATTAGATTTATAAGACATTAGATCCTTATTAGATTATTAGATGTATTAGTTCTAATTATATTTATTAGGTTTATTAGATTATCAGACTATTAGATTTATTAGATTATCATTAGATTTATTATTAGATTATTATCATATTATTAGATTTGTTAGATGTATTAGATATATTAGATTATTGTCAAATTATTATCAGAATAGATTCTTACTAGATTAATAGATTTATTAGATTATTATTAGATTATTAGATTTATTAGATTATCATTAGATCATTAGATTTATTAGAGTATAATTGGGTTATGATTTTTTTTGTTTGATTATGGTGGTGTGTTGCTTTGTTTTCATGGTTTTAAATGTGTGAAGGTCTGTGTGTCTTGGCTATGCAAAGACTAGGGTTTGTTGTGGCGTTGTTTTATCCATTTTCTAGCGTCCCCATCTTCTCTCTCTTTCTCTCCCTTTCGCTCTCTTATCTCTCTCTCTCTTTCATATCTCTTTCTCTCTGTTATCTCTCTCTCTCTCTCTCTCTCTCTCTCTCTCTCTCTCTCTCTCTCTCTCTCTCTTTCTCTCTGTTATCTCTCTCTCTTTCTCTCTCTCTCTCTCTCTCTCTCCTTCTCCTCTTCCTTCTTCTCCCACTCCCTCCCACCCTCCCCCCCACCTCTCCCTACCCCCCCACCTCTCCCTACCCCCCCCCACCTCACCCTACCCCTCCCTCTCTCCCTCTCTCCACCCCCTCTCCCCCTCTCCCTCTCTCACCTGCGAGATATCCGCGAAGAGTTCCTGCAGATCCTCCACGGGCTGGATGGACCCCTGGCCCGTTCCGCCCATGCGCCGCCCCACCCGATTCGAGGTCCGGCCGCACACTGGCTGCAAGGGGGCGAGGAGGGCGGTTATTAAGCGGCTGTGGTAGGCAGAGGCTTGTGGGTATGTGTGGATTGATGTGTGTTTGTTTGTTTGTCTTGTCTGTTTGTTTGGATCGATTTTTTTGGGTAGCTATGTGTGTCTGTGTGTATGTAAGGATTTTTCGATGGATGAATATTGATATGTTTATGTCTGTCTGTTTGTTTGTTTGTCTGTCTATTCATTTATTTATACTTTCACCTGTCTATACATCTATCTATGTAGAGTGTATATCTATAAATAAAAACAATAAATGTCTATTTGCTTATGTTTTTTTTCTGTCTCTGTCTAACTCTCTATCCATCTATCTACCAATCTACCAAAATCATCTATTCATTTTCGTACCTATACAAAATATAAATAATTCACAATTGCAGAATTATCTCTAATCATGAAAACACGACAGATCAGCTGATTCCATTCATGCTCTGAATAACAACATCAACGAACACACGACAAATCAGCTGATTCTCTATTCATGCTCTGAGTGTCAACATCAACGAACACACGACAGGTCAGCTGATTCTCTATTCATGCTCTGAATATCAACATCAACGAACACACAACAGATCAGCTGATTCCATTCATACTCCGAATGTCAACATCAACGAGCACACAAAAGATCAGCTGATTCCATTCATACTCCGAATGTCAACATCAACGAATCAGCTGATTCTCTATTCATGCTCTGAAAATCAACATCAACGAACACACAACAGATCAGCTGATTCCATTCATACTCCGAATGTCAACATCAACGAACACACAAGACAGATCAGCTGATTCCATTTATGCTCCGAATGTCATCAACGAACACACGACAGATCAGCTGATTCATTCATGCTCCGAATGTCAACATCAACGAACACACTCAGCTGATTCCATTTATGCTCCGAATGTCAACATCAACGAACACACGACAGATCAGCTGATTCTCTATTCATGCTCTGAATATCAACATCAACGAACACACAAAAGATCAGCTGATTCCATTCATCCTCTGAACGTCAACATCAACGAACACACGACAGATCAGCTGATTCCATTCATGCTCCGAATGTCAACACGCAGGCTTACCAGGTTGCAGGATCCAAGGCACACAAGCACGGTGCAACGGAGATGCAGGTTGTCGCGGTCGGGGAACTTGAAGGCTTTGAACGTCGAGTGTGCAACCTTGACACCTGTCTTGGGGTTGCTCTTGATCCTGCAATGCAATGAGGAAGTTAGGGTCATGTGGTAGGATTGACAGGTGGTTTTGTAATGTTATGGTAATGATATTGATAATATTGATGGCTGTTCTGGAATTAGTTATTATGATAAGTTGGTTGCAGTTATTGGTATTTTTATTATCACTATTATAGCTGTTATTGGTATCTTTATTATCATTATTATTACTATCATTGGTATTATCATTGTTATTACTATTATTGGTATTATCATTATTATTACTATTATAATCATTATCATTACTATCATTGGTATTATCATTATTATTACTATTATAATCATTATTATTACTATCATTATAATCATTATTACAATCATCTCTATCATTAACCTACACACTACGTACTCTGACATCACTATCATTACCATCTTTATCATCATTACTATCAATACTAGTATTACTACAGCCACAACTACAACGACCCAAAACCAGCTCCACCCCACTACCTCAGCGGCGGCATGATGGCATCGTCCACCGCACACCCATGCTCGTCGATGAGGTCCTGTGCCTGCTCCCCCGACCCGTCATGCGCCACACACGACGTGATTCGGGTGTCGAGTCCCTTGCTCTGCCGGATCTTCAGGACCATGGTGGTGTCGTCGCCAACGAGCAAGTGGTCCATGACTGGCTTTCCTGGGGGTGGGAATGGTGCTTTTGAGGGTTTAAGTTGGTAAAGTTGTTTTAGGGTTTAAGAGATTCGTGTAGGTTTGTTTGTAAGAGGGTTTTGATATGTAGGGTATGGGATAGGGGGTGGGAATGGTACTCTTGAGGGTTTAAGTAGTTTTCAGGTTTAAGAGATTCGTCTGTTTATTTGTTAGAGGGTTTTGATATGTATGAGATATTTTGATTTTGAAGTCGTGGGACTGTGATTTCTCTGGTAGTTTAAAGTTTAGAAAAAATATCACGACGTAAGAATTATACAGACACATGCCCAGTGATGCTTGGCGTTCTGTGAAAAACGCACATGCGCAGTATTAATGAAAACCAATTAAAAAATGTTAATTTCTAATTACTCCTTTGTTTAATGACTGTAAATCTAGTGTGTTTTCATCGCTCTAAATTTATCTCATTCAATAACCTGATGGTAATAAATATTCCGATGATAAAGCAAATTAATTTTCTTCAATGACCAGTGAAAGCCAAGAGGAAAAAGCAAACCCCAGAATGATAACATGTATCACTTATAAAAGAAATGGAAATAAAACCAAATTAATTTCCCTCAATGCCCCACAAAATCCAAAAGAAGCCCCCAAAGAGAGAGATAGACAAACAGACAGAGACAGACAGACAGAGACAGAGACATAGAAAGAGAGAGACAGACAGACAGACAGACAGAGACAGAGACATAGAAAGAGACAGACTGACAGACAGACAGACAGACACAGAGACATAGAAATAGACAGACAGACAGAGACGGAGACATAGAAAGAGACAGACAGACAGACAGAAAGAAAGAAAAAGAAAGAGAGAATTTTAAAGATCCGTACCATTGAGTGAGTCCCCCCTGACGATGTCCATCCAGCAGGAAATGGGTTCTGAGTTTCCTTCTGGGCGGTTCTTCTCTGCGGGGAAAAAGGGGCGTTACCTTAGAAAATGGAGTCCTTGTGGTGCTGGCGACATCGGTGGTGGTGAGGTGGTGGAGGTGAGGATTTCGTTTTGGTGGTGTAGGATGAGGGTGGTGAGGATGTGGGTGAAGATGGTGATGATGATGAGGAGAAGGAGGAAGAGGATGAGGATGTGGATAAGGAGGAAGGTGAGGATGAGGATGGTGATAGGGATGATGATGATGATGAGGAGGAGGTGAGTAAGGATGAGGATGGCGATGGTGTTGATTTTGATGAGAATGAGGAGGGTGAGGATGGGGGTGAAGAATGACGATGATGATGAGGAGGAGGAGGGCGAAGATGATGATAATGAAATGAAAATGCATATATGAAATCAATAATACCGAATGCACGAATAACGATAAAGGCGACGTATCCGCAACAGCAATAATACTGACACATACAACAATAAACCATAACAACTACGAAAAGTTACCCTCCCCCCCCTAAAAAAAAAGAAAATAAATAACCAACAACCAAAACACCCCCCCAAAAAAAAAGTAAATAAATAATAATAATAATAATAACAATAATAATAATAATAATAATAATAATAATAATAATAATAATAATGATAATAATAAAAATAATTAAATAAATAAAAAATATACAATAATAATAATAATAATTAATAAATAGAAAATAATGAATGAATAGAAAATAATACTAAATAGAATAAATAAGTAAAAATAAATAAAATGGATAAATAAAAATCAATCAATAAATGGAAATAGATAAGTGAAAATAAATAAAGAAATAAAGAAAATAA